CTTCTCCTCCTCCTCCTCCTCCTCCTCCTCCTCCTCCTCCTCCTCCTCCTCCTCCCCCCCCTCCCTCTCCTCCTCCTTCCCAGCGCGGAGGACCGCAAGAAGCAGAAGGGCCAGGACGGAGCTGGCGTCGCTCGCGGAGCCGCGGGCGCCGAGGTCATGGCGACCAAGCCGAAGCCCACGAGTCGTGACGGCCGCCGACGAGGGGGCGACAAGGAGCGCAAGCTGACCACCAAGGACGGCGGCCTTCGCGAGCTGCTGCTGGTGCTACCATGCAGGTCACCGCGCTCACGCAGAAGAGCCGCGCGATGTGGGGGATCCTCACCAGGCCGGTTAACCTCGAGGAGGCCAGCCCAGTGGTCAAGCAGATGCAGGAGGAGGGGAAGGCTTTCGCGGAGAACGCGCAGAACTTGAGGAGCAAGGTGGCCAAGATGAGAGAGGCCGCGAAGTCGGCGACAAGGAGGCCGAGGCCGTGGCGACCCGCGACGCGGAGGCTGCCATGGGAGAGCTACGCGACCTCGGCCCCCCGACGCAGCCTGTGTTCGCCGCCATGGTGGAGGCGCTCGCGCTGCAGGAGATTGGGAAGGTCAACAGAGTAGCCCTGGAGGCCTGGGCCACCCGCATGGTGGGGGACCCACCAGACTACGTGAAGTTGTGCAGGCTGGAGAACTGCTACCAGGAGGGCCAGACAAAAGTCGTGCTCTCGGTGTCGGATCAGGGGAAAGAAGACATCCTGGTGGACGCGTTCCGTGCCCTGGGAGCCCAGATCACCCGAGGCCAGGCCCCAGCGGGCTAGATGGAAGAAGAGCTGAATGCCTGGATCGACGTGCTGAAGGCCTAAGACCACGGGACAGCCTGATCGTGATTGCTCTGAGGTGCTGCGCACTGCCCCCGCCCCGTGTGAGCGAGGTTGTGCAGCCGTGGCACCCGCCACATATCTGTGCAGAGGCCAGCGCCTCGGACAGCGGGCACTGCTGACCTCTTGAGGGGAGGTCGTTTTTGCTTACGCCGTGTTTGTCGTCCTGCCTCCCCTGCTCTTCGTTTCGTTCCGTTCCGTCCTCTCAGGCCCTCGGCTTGCCCGTCGGTCCCCCGTGGCCCTCGTCGGTCCCCCTCGTTCGGCGGTGCGCGGGTCGGTTCGTTTTGTCCCTTGTGTTCGGTTTGTCGGGTGTGGAGTGGCGCTCGTGGCTCCATTTTTCAGTAGAGCCTACACGAGACCTATTCATGGCGTAACAGAACATTGCTCAATAGCTGCGTACTCCTCCTCCTCCTCCTCCTCCTCCTCCTCCTCCTCCTCCTCCTCCTCCTCCTCCTTCTCCTTCTCCTCTTCCTCCTCCTCCCCACCTCCACCTTTTTCTCCTTCCTCCCCCTCCTCCCCTCCCTCCATCCTTCCTCCTCATTCCTTCTTCTCCTACCTCCTCCTCCTCCTCCTCCTCCTCCTCCTCTCCTCTCCACCTGCACTCCTCCTCCTCCTCCTCCTCCTCCTCTCCCCTCCTCCTCCCTCCTCCTCCTCTCCTCCTCCTCCTTCCTCCTCCTCCTCCTCCTCCTCCTCCTCCTCCTCCTCCTCCTCCTCCTCCTCCGCCTCCACATCGCACCCTTCTCCGACCCCGCCGTGCCACGCGGGGCGCCTCCGCCGGGGCGGCTCATCGGCAGCGGGGCACCGCCCCGCGCGCGCGGCCGCGACGGGCTGCGGCGCCAGCAGGGCCGCCCCGGCGGCCCGCGGGGCGGCGGGCCCGCGCGGGGCACGGGACATGGCGCAGGCGATTTGGGGGGAGGGGCCAGCTGCGGGGTTGAGGTTCTCGACGGCCCAGGACTCTTGACTTAAACTGTGCGTGTCCCTCTACAGGGGTACAATTCAGAGACGATTGTTTGACGTTTTTTGGATATCTTTGAGAATGTTTGAGTATTCATGATTTTTCGTCCGCGATACCCCTGTAGGGGGACATGCCCGACTGAAGGCCAGCTTCGGGTTTGAGGTTCTCGACGGCTCGGGACTCTAGACCTCCCAGATGGGGTCGGAGGAACGCGCCGCATCGCTGATGCATCAGCGACGCGGCTAAATGCGGAGCCCGATTTTCTCGACGCCGGCGTGTCCGATGCGTCACCGACGTCGGCAATGCATCGCCGATGCCCTGGCGATGCGGCGCGATCCATAGACTTGAACCCCCCGTAAATGAGGCCTGTGAGGACGATGATGAGGCCAAAGTCTAGGTCTGCCACCGACTTGACCCTTTCTGGCATGTTTCTTGGCGGTTCTCGGCGCCTTTCCGAGCTCGGGATGCTTCCCAGCAGCTGCGCCTCGCCCCGGGGCGGGTGCACAGATCGTCCCGAGCGGGCCGCGGGAGACCCCACAACCCTCGTCGAAATTGAGCGCAAGTTTTTGTCCACCCAGGAGGAGGAGGAGGAGGAGGAGGGGGAGGAGGAGGAGGAGGAGGAGGAGGAGGAGGAGGAGGAGGGAGGAGAGGAGGAGAGGAGGAGGAGGGAGGAGGAGGAGGAGGGGGTCCGCGTACCCGCATCGCGGCCGGCGGGGTCCGAAGAAAAGCTCGAAGTCGCCGGCGTCGGCGCGAACATTGGAGTTCGGGGTCGGGGGGCGCCGCCAGGTCGCGGCTAGAACTAGCGCACCATTTCGACGAGGGATGCAGCTACGCATGCCCCGGCAGCCACACGACGAGCGGGTCGGGCGAAGCCCGGGCCGCGCGCGGGGGGGGGCGCCCAGAGAACCGCGCGCTTCGCGCGCGGCGGCCGCGGGCTGGAGCGGCGGACGCCCTCCAGGGGCGAGAACGCGAAGATAAACCGCGCATCGCGGGGTGCGCTGCTCGGAGTTGGGTGACCCAGGGCTCGGGGGGGGCCCAGGGGGTCACTCTTGAGTCGGGCGTGTGTCCCCCTGCAGGCGGATCCTGGACGAAGGCTAGACAATAGCCAAAACGTGCCCAAGAGATGCCCAAAAACTGTCGACAAATCCTTCCCAGATTATTTTTTGACTATAATTGAGAACCCCTGCAGAGGGCCAGGCCCGACTGAAGGCCACTCGCGACGGTGACCGGGCGACCGCCCACCGCGAGCAGGCTCGTGCCGCCCTCCGCAGAAAGCCTCCCGGCTTCGCGGCCTCTAGGGGACCCTCATGCCGCCGCCCCGGCCGGGCGCGGCTCCGAGGAGCTCGCGCAGATGGACCCTGGGAGGATTCACGGGATGACCATGATCCATGATGCTCATGGTGATGCTGATTATGACGAGGATGATGAGCATTATCACCATCAGCATCATCAGCATCATCATCAGAATCATCATCACCATCATCATCATCAGCATCATCATCACCACCATCATCATCATCATCATCATCAGCATCATCATCACCATCACCATCACCATCACCATCATCATCATCATCATCAGCAGCAGCAGCAGCATCAGCATCGTCATCATCATCATCGTCATCGTCATCGTTATCATCATCGTCATCATCATGAGCACCACCACCACCACCATCACCATGAACATGCTCGCTGTTTCTGGACAACACAGGAAGGGATTCTTTGGTCTGGGGCAGATTCGGGCTGGGGGCTCGGGCGTGGCACGGCGGTGCGATCCTCCCTCGCTGGCGCCAGCAGCACCAGGAAGCGCTCGTGCCTGGGGCGCGGGCGCTCGAGGAGGATGCGCCCCCCCCCCCCCAGCTGGCGAGTGTCAGAAAAAAAAAAAAAAAAAAAAAAAAAAAAAAAAAAAAACGATCAATCGTGGATCCCCCAGAAAATATGGGAAACTATGGGAAGTGGGGGGGGGAGAGACAAAAACCCAGAAAATACTGGAAAATAGGGGGGATCCTGCTATTCGTGTGTGTATTTATTATTTGTGTGTCCTGGTGCCCCTTCAGGGTGCCCCACCGAGGGGCGCTGGGCGTGCCCCGACGGGGCTCGACGGAGTGCCCCCCCACGCCTGCGCAGAGGTCCCGTCGAGGGGCGCGCCGGGCGTGCTCCGCGGAGGGCCCCGCGCAGCCCCCATCGGGGGTCCCCCGGCGGCGGAGGCCTCGGTGCGGGGCGCGGCGGGGGCCAGGGCGGGCGCCCGCCGCGGCAGATGTGCTTGCCGCGTCCGCCGACGCCGGGCCCAGGATCGGAGGGCACGCCCTCCCAAGGGGCCGGGAGGGGGTCTTCACGGATCGCGGTCTCTTGCCCCCACCATCCCTTCGTGTCCCCACGCTCCCCCCAGGAGGCTTCTCGAGGCTTCGGAACAACCCCAAGCGCACACAGAACTACACTATCCCTCCTCCTCCTCCTCCTCCTCCTCCTCCTCCTCCTCCTCCTCCTCCTCCTCCTCCTCCTCCCCCTTCTCGATCTTCCTCCTCCTCGACCTTCCTCCTCCGCTCTAGGCGACAAGCCCAAGAGGGATCCAACGTCGACACGCCTACTGTACAAAGCAATGGCTTGAGAGCGCCGTGCGAGTCAGGATGAGGCCGTCCAGGGCTGGCGCGCGCAGACAGCTGCCCCCCCCGCAGGTGATGAACATGACGACGGGCTGCGGCATCATCAG